TCTTATGCTATACAATTATAGAAATAGCATTAAAACGTTGGTCAAACTCCGCATAGCGTGACTCTAGATACAAAGTGTGTCGGGCATGACTCTCAAACGTATTTGAATGCGGCATTATAATTAATTATCAATGAAAACGTCAATAGTTTGAGTTCACTAAATATAAACATTACGATTATATATATGACAGACGGGTTCTCACAATTATAGTAGCAGCTCCGATGATTACATGGAGCGTTTGTTGTAAAAAAGTATATACATTATGCATGTTGTACATTATTCATGCTGCGTCATGACTTCTGTTACAAATAGGTCTTGCATTTTTGTAGATCGTAGGCACATAGTGTTATAAATAAATGAAATACTTTACCTGAATGACTTTACTTGAAATTTTACAGACTCTTTCTGAAGTAAAGGTATTCAAGAGCTTTTGTATTAGACTTTTAGTTTATCATATCATTGCTGGACTACTATAAAATAAGTATACGAGTCTAAACAAAAATGTTGCTATTTATATAAAATCAATATACGAGGTGTGATCAAAAAGTAAGGTGAATTTTGAAATTTAGCGAGCTACGTCCGTTCGATCTTCGACTTTTTTATTTGGTTATGTCGGTACACCCGTCTAGAACATACGTTCCAAATTTCAGCTTTGTAGTATGTTTGGTTTGTTTGTGAGAGGCATCAAGGTTAGAAGTGTTTTGCGTGCTCCACGATTTGCTGCTGTCTAAAAACATGGATCAAAGAGTTTGCATTAAATTTTGTGTGAAAAATGGAATCAAATGTTCCAAAACACTTGAAATGCTGAAAGTGGCATACGGTGAGTCTACTTTAAGACAAAAAAATGTTTACAAGTGGTATAAACTCTTCCAAGAAGGCCGAGAAGACACCGACGACGAACCTCGTTCTGGACGCCCCAGCACATCAACAACTGATGAGAATGTTGAAGAAGTGAAGAAAATAGTGTTGGGAAATCGTCGAATTACCATTAGAGAAATTGCTGATGATATTGGCATCTCAGTTGGTTTGTGCCAATCAATTTTGACGAGTGTTTTAGACATGAGACGTGTGTCAGCGCAGTTTGTTCCGAAATTGCTCAATTTCGACCAAAAGAAACGTCGCATGAGCATCGCCCAAGAGCTACTGAATGACGTCAACGATGATCCAGATTTACTCAACAGGGTTATAACAGGTGACGAAACATGGGTATACGGTTATGACGTCGAGACTAAGACTCAATCGTCCCAGTGGAGGCATTCTGGATCACCAAGACCAAAAAAAGCACGCCAAGTTCGATCAAATGTAAAGGTTTTGCTTACAGTTTTCTTTGACTGCAGGGGCGTGGTGCATCATGAGTTTTTGCCACAGGGTAGAACATTAAATAAGGAATATTACCTGCAAGTTATGCGCAATTTGCGCGAAGCAATCCGCCAGAGACGTCCGAATTTGTGGAAAAATAAAAATTGGCTTTTGCACCATGATAACGCCCCTGCTCACACATCGTTGCTTGTGCGCGAATTTTTGGCTAAAACCAACACAGTAACGATGCCACAGGCACCGTATTCCCCAGATCTGGCCCCCTGTGACTTCTTCTTGTTCCCAAAACTGAAGAGGCCCATGAAAGGACGGCGTTTTGCCACGATTGAGGAGATAAAGACGGCATCGAAGGATGAACTAAACAAGATCACAAAAAATGATTTTTTGAAATGCTTTGAGGATTGGAAAAAGCGTTGGCATAAGTGCATTATATCCGAGGGGGATTACTTTGAAGGAGATAAAATAAAAATTGATGAATAAATAAATATTTTTTGAGAAAAATAAAAATTCACCTTACTTTTTGATCACACCTCGTATATATATACGAGGTGTGTTCAAAAAATAACGAGAATTTTCGTTTTATGAAAATAATATTTATTTATTCATCTACATTAATGTTGTCGCCTTCAAAGTAGTCCCCTTCGGATACAATACACTTATGCCAACGCTTTTTCCAATCCTCGAAACACTTTTGAAACTCGATCTTTGTAATAGCTTTTAGCTCTTTCAGCGATTCGCTTTTAATGTCATCTATGCTTGTAAAACGACGGCCTTTTAATGTTCTCTTTATTTTTGGAAATAGAAAAAAGTCACATGGAGCCATATCTGTCGAATATGGAGGCTGAGGCATCCTTACAGTTTCGTTTTTGGCCAAAAATTCACGAACAAGCAATGAAGTGTGAGCAGGCGCATTATCGTGGTGCAAAAGCCATGAATTGTTTCGCCACAAATCCGGGCGTTTTTTTCGGATTGCTTCACGCAAACGACGTTGAACTTGTAGGTAGTACTGCTTATTGATTGTTTGACCTTGTGGCAAGAATTCATAATGCACTATGCCATTAAAATCGAAGAACACAGTGAGCATAACCTTCACATTCGACCGCACTTGTCGAGCCTTTTTCGGTCTTGGCGATCCAGAATGCCTCCACTGGGACGATTGAGCCTTAGTTTCGACATCATATCCGTAAATCCATGTTTCGTCACCTGTTATAACACGTTTAGTAGTTCTGCATCGTTATTGACTTCATTTAGCGACTCCTGAGCAACTTCCATTCGCCGCTGTTTTTGTTCGAAATTCAACAATTTTGGAACGAATTTTGCTGCCACACGTTTCATACCCAAAACATTCGAAAAAATTTGATGGCATGAGCCAACTGATATGCCAACATCATCAGCGACTTCTCTGATTGTGATTCGGCGATCGTTCATAACCATTTCTTTCACTTTTTTCACGTTTTCATCGGTTGTTGATGTGCTTGGGCGTCCGGGTCGTTCGTCATCTTCAACGTTTTCGTGGCCATCTTGGAAACGCTTATACCACTCATAAATCCTTGCTTTACTCATAGCAGACTCACTATATGCCTTTGTTAACATTTGACAAACTTTACTACACTTTATTTCATTTTTTACGCAAAATTTAATACAAATTCTTTGATCCATTTTTTTTCACAAACGAAAATCGCCGAGCTCGAAAAACACGTCTAACGTTAGCGGCTGCCACTTAAAAAGTAAGCAATGAATATTGCTGAAAATTTTATCGTACTTCAGGGGCATGTGTACCAACATAATAAAAAAAAATTTTATACAAGCGGACTCTCCAAACCCGCGAAATTTAAAAATTCTCGTTACTTTTTGAACACACCTCGTATGACTTAAGACGATCGCCTACCAGTGGAGAAGCGGATACGCAAGCTAGGTCCGCGAAGCGAGTGCGCTATCGAATCCTAACGGATTAAGCGAGTGATCAGCACTGTAAGTACCGCTCGTCACTTGGCTTTCTCTCTCTTTTACACTCTCTCTCCTCACGCTCACCTTGTATAACTTTTGGTTTGATCCACTTGCTACTGAGTCTAATGCGTCGGAAGTGTGTATCCATCGCGAGTACGACTGTTCGCTTTCTATAGGCGGCGGCTCATAACGTGGCGTGAGTTTACATTTGGTTCACTCATGTGGCGCATGCGCTATACTCATTTCTCTTGGATGCATGACTACGAGTCTTTGTGTTGCACTGGCCTACTACTGTGGGCAAAAAGTAAGGTGAATTTTCAATTTAAACTTCGCGGGCTTAACATTTCGGGCTAGTTCTTTTTTTCTTGAGTTGGTAGGACTGCGAATGACATCTGGGACAAATTTCATGTCAATGTCATCATCAGTAATATATTTACGCTTGTGTTTACCAAACGACCAAGAGTGCATGTTTCGATTTTTACAATGTCTGATTTAATTGAGCAAAGAAGTGCCATCAAATTTTGTTTGCGGAATGAAATTTCGGCTGCGGAAACGTTGAGGATGTTGCGGAAGGCCTTTGGTGATTCTACCATGTCGCAGAAAAATGTTTATAAGTGGTACAAAGACTTCAAAGAGGGTCGAGAACGTGTTGATGACTTGGAGCGCTCCGGACGACCATCGACGTCAACAGATGACCAACACGTCAATAAAGTGAAGGAATTAGTGCTCGAAAATCGTCGGTTGACTGTTAGAGACCTTACTGATATGATCGGAATATCAGAAGGATCTGTGAAAACAATTTTGAAAGACCATTTGGGCCTACGAAAAGTCAAATCTCGTTTGGTACCAAAAACGCTCAATTTCTTGCAAAAAAGTCGCCGAGGAGATAAGAGCTGAATCGAAGAAGGCGCTGATGGCTATACCGGAAAGGGACTATTTGGCATGTTTCGAGGATTGGAAAAAACGTTGGCATAAGTGTATTTTATCGGGAGGGGATTACTTCGAAGGGGATGACATTGATGTAGAAGAATAAATAACGATTTTTCATTTTACAAACAAATTCACCTTACTTTTTGCCCACAGTAGTACGTGACGCAGGCGCGTCATCCGATTTGCGCCGAGTTTACGTTCTATAATTCTAAATTTTGTATTAACTTCCCTCTTGCCGATAAAAACTGCTCTTTACCTGAAATTCGTGCCGAGTTATTAATCTAACTCTAACATTCGCATTATTGATTCACGCTCCGTTCTCTCTCGGTTATTCACTGGTTGATCTTCGCGTAGCTCACGATACTCTCTGCATGCCAATTTCTCTCTTTTCACGAAGGATGCAACCTGAAGCAGCTGGACCCTGGATGGGCCTATGCAGGAGCATAGGGTTACATGATAGCGACAACGCCCGCTACATATAATTTTCGTCCACGAATAATAACTAATTTTTGTTTCGGCTTCTGTTCGGAACACCTCGAACAAAAGTCCCGTTATAAGGTATTTAGTTAGCATAGAAATAAATAAATGTCATATAGTTCTTTAAGATCAACAACTGAAATTGTTGGATTTTATAAAGTTCCCTAATTTTGAAATTAGATTTACATGCAGATTTCTATGCTTCCCAAGAGTTCATAGGGCTAAAGTAATTATCAGTAGATCGATTTACTATGCATTCAATCGTAATTTATGAGATTAAAAACAAACCTCTGTATAATCTTTTATCAACTTTAGTAATATAATCTTACCTTATCGTTTTGCATGCAGTGAAAGACGAAAATGAACAACCCTTGTAAACTGTTCAGCACAGTGAAGATATACGCCATGAAAACAGATTCTTGATTTAAGTACAATAATCCAAACGTCCAGGTAAGGCCTAACAGGAACACCAGGACAATTGCTCCTCTTAACCAGGCCCTATTAAATTAGAAAATATATTGATCTTTGAATTCGGATATTCTTTTAAATTACCATCAATAAAATTAGATAGGTGGTAAGAAAGAATAAAACACTGTTTTCACAAGATGATTTTAAAATAATGCTTATATTATATCCTCAAACGTAATCATTTTTTACTAGTTCATAATTTAGTAAAACTAATTGAATTCAGCAACTTAAATAGACCAAAAAATCAAGGAGCCTGATTGAACGCCTCAAATTTTCGGCAGTTGCCTAGCACGATAATTCGGTATAGCGATGCACAATAGCCAAAAAACTAATTTAAGTTAATATACTGTCTCAATGTGTCAATCTTTCTACTTGAATTTATATTAAATTGTTATTTCTAATCAATTTTTTTAGTGAATAACTAAATTATTACATTTACTATCGTAAATTTACTGCTCGTCTATATTTATTGTTAGCTTGGTCAACTGTGTCGTAAAGATAGTAATCAAACAGTGAAACTATCGAAAGCTCAACAATCAAAGCGTAGCATCATATAGAATAGAGAGTAAGATATTTAATGAAAGAATACCTTAATAAATACAAATCTCAATTAATAAATAACAATTTCATATAGCACTATACAATATAATGCACGTTCTCATGTAATGCAACGTTTATATAATAATGCTTACATCAGAACTAAACATTTTAATTATTATAGATAGGGTAAAAGGTTTGGTTTGAGGATATAGCTTAATTGTGGCACTCTTGCGTTTCGGTTGACAGAAAGCAGATGAGGTTTTTCTGACAAATGTCATTTACGTTTTTTCATACTAAATATCGAAACGAACAAACGAGTCTGATTCGTGCTACATCTATTTTTCTGTACTTGAAAAAAAAAATTACTAAAATTTATTTAAACTTTTTCAACAGTATTAAAAATTGAAGTAAATCAATGAAGATAAGTGTAATACATATTTATTCAATAGGAATTTCTTCTTACTTTGAGATGCAATATCGATTGCAACCAATATGTCGACAACAACAATTTCACCACTTTTGAAGATGGCTGACAAATTCGGTTGTGGATACTGAAATTATTGCGATTGTAGGCATTCATTTTGTTTTTTTTTTAAACGATGGAATATTGCTGGAATAGTTAAGGTCTCTAGATACCTTAAGGTACATAGATATGTCCAAAAAATATGCACTTGATCAAAAGTTATGAGCCAAAAGCAAATGGGTGTTCACAATCGAACCCTTTCTCCTAGTATCAAAGAATTAATGTGTAATGATAATATTTAAACGCTGATAACCCTTGATCAAATAATTATAATTTGTCATTTTTTAAATAAATTGAAATGATAAAAAATTTGTACTATTGAAAAAAAATAAGGAAACAAAAAATTCTTAAATTTTTCGGCGATTTTTGAAGAGCTGCATTTTCGTGAAAGATGATCGTATCGAGAAAAAAAAACATTTCAAAGCTACATTAGGATTTTTGAGTCAAAATTTTAGTAGGATTTTTGAATCAAAATTTTTCATCTGCTAGGATTTCTAGATAATCTTAAGGAAAAGAGCGAGAGAAAAATTTTGTTGTTTTTTTTGAGTCCACGGATTTTGGAAAATTTTTTTTGTTCAAACGAACTTAAATTTTAGTTAGCATGTTTATTCAGTTTAAATTTCGTTTTTTTTTCGTCTCTCTTTGTGTCCACATATCACTGAGTTATCGAACTTTGAATAAAAAATGGTTCTATTTCCTTCAATCGCCAATATCTCAGCAACCAATAATCGTACATCAAATAAAGAAGTAGTTCTTTAAACGAGAATAAATTACCTACGAAACCTATTCATTAGTTTAAAAAAAAAAACATTTTTTTCAATCATCTTTATTATTTTGAAAAAAGTACAAAAAATAACTTTCTGGTAAGTATCATGAAAAGTATCAATGTTTATAGGTATTTCTTAGCTAAATATATACCCAAAAACCTTGACAATTATAAAAATAACTGGTCTACTTGTTTTTTCGAAGCGAATTGTCAAACTTTTGAAAAGAATTAAAGGAACATGTTTTTGTTCCTTAAATGTAAATAAATCATGATAATAGCTAAATAAAAATTCTTTTTCTTCAAAAATTGTTTGAAAAAAATATTACGTTATGTTTATTACTTATCGGCCTCGGTGTGTCTTAACTTCACTATTTGAAAAAAATTACAATAATTAAAAAAATTGATACCCCAGAACTATACCCATTACTCGACCTACTCGACTCAGTATTCATGTGAACGATTTTGTTACTTCCTATAAAGCGATTCGTTTTTAAATGAACAGTTTTTTTCACTATTTTTTTTTATTTTTATAAAATATAGAAAAAATGAATAAAAACGTTTTGCAAACTATGATTTTTTATTATATTTCTGAATCATGCTTCGTCGGCATTTATCTGAACTAGAAGTCACTTAACTTGTAACTCTTATTGATGGGGGTTGGGTTACGCTCACCTTGACGCCGGTAACATGTTAGGAATCAGCGTCTCAATTGTGTGCCATGCCTACGAAAGTTACCATGAATCAGGTGGGTATGCTCGTTGGTCGAGGCAAGGCCGGCAATGGATAACAACTCCTCCAGATGATCGAGCAATTATTTGTCGTGTTCGTCGAGAATCGTTCGTTTATGCCAATGTTGTCAGCTAAAATTTTCTAAAACCGTCAACAACAACAACAATAACTGTACCGACGATAATGACAAGGACAAAGAAGTATTTCTCATCGGTCAGTTATTATCCGTCTTTGAAAAATCTGAATTACGAGTTAGTGAACCGGTTCGTATACCAATGCTAAAAGTAAGACGTATCTTATGCCCACCGACATAATCAAAGATGTATGACGCAATACGATAATATTTTATTTACCGATAAATATCGTTTTTACTTACACAGTAATGATAGGAGGCTTCTAGTCTGACGTCACCGGGAAGAACGGTTCAACCTCCATGATTTTCATACTAAGGTAACACGATTGGTCTTGAAATTTGAATTTGGTTAATTTATTCAAGATAATGGGCGCCCTCACACTGTGATTGTGCTTAGACGATTTTTTGAGAGGAACAACATCACTAGGTCATCATTCAAATAGTACTAACCTTAAACTCATCGAACACGTCTGGAATATTATGGGCCGTCGACTGTGCTAGGAATACATGATTTTTTTAAATTTAGAAGATCTAGATCGCATTTTATATAAATTTGATAGACCATTCCTCAATCGCCGATTCAATTGTATATTAATATGCCGTATCGACTGAATGCAGTGATTCAGAGTAGAGACGGCAATAGGTACTAGAAAGACACGGACGTACGTAACTTAGAAATTAGGTTTGGAGTCGTTAAAAACTGCAGAAGTGACAAGCCGCGGGGTCTCATTTTACTAAGACATCGAACATTAATATACATATGTAATTTAATAAATGAGTTTGGAGTTTTTATTTTTTTATAAATAATTTTTTTTAATATTATCTGTTTAAAAGGAATTATTACGAGTGGGGGTCAATAAGTCTTTACAAAAAGAAGGAAAATAAAGTTTTGCGTATGTAACTTTTTTTTATTTTTCAACATAATCTCCTTGAAGGTCGATACATATTATTAAACGGCCTTCCAGTTTTTTTAAGCCATCAGAAAAATATGATTTCTGAAAACCCTCAAAATAGGCATCTGTTTCGGTGATGACTTCTTCATTCGACACGAATCGTTGTCCGGCAAGCCATTTTTTGAAGTTAGGAAAGAAGAAAAAGTCACTGGGAGCCAAATCAGGCGAATATGGTGGATGGTCAATTAATTCGAACTTTGATTCGTTAATTTTTGCCATCGAAACTGCGCGCGTGTGAACTCGAGCATTGTCTTGAAGAAAGAGGCATTTCTTTTTGTTCAAGTGAGGACATTTTTCTCTGATTTTTTCTTTCAGCTAGCCTAATAATGACGCATAATATTGTCCAGTGATCATCTGGTCCTTTTCCAAGTAGTCGATGTAGATGATTCCATACGTACCCCAGAAAACTGTGGCCATAATCTTGCCAGCTGAATTTATTGTCTTTGCCTTCTTTGAGGCTGATTCTCCTGCGGTAATCCATTGTTTGGACTGTTCTTTGGTTTCAGAAGTGTAGTGGTGTACCTATGTTTCGTTTGTTTTCAACAGTGAGCAAACGCGGCACCCATCTTGCTGATATTTTTTTCATCCCCAATTTTTCATGCAAAATTGAAATGATTGTATCCTTTGATTCAGCGGTGGCCTTAACTAATTCTCGCAATTTTAATCTTCTATCAGTCAACACCACATCGTGGATTTTGTTGACCATTTCGGGCGTACTCACTTATACGGAGCGTCCTGAACGAGGTTCATCTTTTGTTGTTGTACGGCCTAGTTTATATTCATTTACCCAGTTATAAACAGTCTTAAACACAGAGGCAGACTTGCCATGAACGGCGTTCAACTCAACTGTGATTTCTTTTGGTTTAAGGCCTTTCAAATGAAAATGTTTTATCACCGCTCGAAACTCTGTTTTTTCCATTTTTCAAATAAACCAATAACTTTTTGTTCAACGCTCATAAAAAAACCACTTAATGAATCGAGCTGAAACTTTGTACGATATCTAGTTAGTAGTATTGCTTGCCAAAAACATCATAATTTAAGCGTGACGATCCATCTCTTGGATTTTGTAAAGACTTATTGACCCGCCCTCGTATCAAAAAAAAATTTTTTGTTAAAAGTTTTATTTTTTTGAAAAACTTTTCATTCTCCTTTTTCTCAAGATTCAATAATTTTTCAATGCAAAATTACTGATATAAAAATACATTTTTTTAGTTGTTATCATCATTTATTGACATTTAAGGATAAAAAGTTTTTCTTTAATTCTTTTCAAAAATTTAATGATTCTGTCTGAAAAAAAGGGCTTGACCGATAACTAATAATTAGCAGGGTTTTTTAAAAGCTATTATTCAATCGTGGAGTGGTTGCACCTGAAAACAAATTGATGAT